TGAAGCCTTCTTTTTGCAAACTGTTCCCATTTTTGCTTAAAGATTTTCCACGTTTTTTTGGCCGTATCAAGTCACGTGACCTAATTTGCATAAGTTTGATAAGTCAAAAACAATCACTTTAGAAGATGTATTTGTCTCCCAAAAGTTTATGTTGTCATGAACCAAGCCTCAGAACGTAGACCACCCCCTAACTGTTTTGAGGAAAATAATTGCTGACCCATGCCTTAATTTTCCTGAGTTTGAATATTTTGAGTAAATTTGTGCGGAAGCCGGCTATTATTCTACGGTAGTTTGAGTTTCATTTCTTTAATGCAGATTGTCACAAAATCGCACCGAAAAAAAAGAAACAAAGATCAACTTCCACCAATTTTTAACCTGCATTCATTACGTCGGCCATATGAACAAATTGACAAAGGCCTTGAGTTGTGATTGGTTGATTTAATATTTTTTTACTGGTGGGTTATTTGTTATCAGGTTTTAGTTTTACGATCAGTGAAACCTGTGATTCGTCATCTCCTGTCATGGAATCATCGCGATGCTGTTTCCGCTTCGCGGCCGAACTATAATGTAAATTTACGCCGATTGAAAGGGTACCTTTGATGTGAAATCAGACACATTTTATCCTATTCTGCGTAACAGACAGTTACGTCTGCAAACAGTATCGAGTAATGTACAAAAAAGGACATATACTGAGAATTAAAGTTGGTTTGAATCTCCTCTTCGGGAAAGGCGACAAAACACATGTAATTCAAATACATGTAAACTTTGGTGCATTAATTGTGCTTAGCTTATTTCTCTTCATTCAGTGGAAAAATGAAATGTTATTATAAATAAGCCATGTTGCTTGACAACCTGAAACAAAAAGCGCCGAGATTGTTTCCAGATACATGACTTCTTCACCGATGACTGCTTCTTCACAACGGTTTCGTGGCCGAGTGCTTGTTGACGTCAAATCATGATTATTTTTTATGACGTGCGTGCGGTTTTGTATTCTTCTCGACATAATTAAGAAGCAGTCGTTGAGGGCTACGCTAAATTCTGCGTTAATTACTGGAGATTCCTTTCTGTCAAATGCTCTACGGAAGGCCTAAGCGCAAATGACGTTTATTTCAAGAAATGTTAATTCAGCTGTCCCTGGTATATAAGATGGAGGTTTCAATGATGGTGGAAAATATATTATTGAAGTCTTCGCAAACACAATAAGCAGCTTGCAAGTGAAAAGAGTAAAACGCAAAAATTGCCGAAGAAAGTCTTTCTTATCAAATTTACAACGTGAGTTTAAGCAGTAATTTGTCGGAACATTCATTTATTTTATTGTATCTTTTGCGGTGTACCCTTAATGATTAGTCGATTTTTGTTTTATTTCACAGGGAGACAATTCAAATCAACGCACACAAGGCAGAATAATATACAGAGATCTCTTATATTGAAACTGTCGTTAGGATATTGCGAGATCGAGCGGAAACTTTCAAATTATACAATTTTTGGTTGGATCGTTTGTTCGTATTTTCAGAATGGGTACTCGTGAGGTTCCGCTTTATTTCCTTGCTGGTTGTATGGCGTTCGTGGCATTGTTCGTTCTGTGCTTGATGTTTGCAGTTGTTTGTCCGTACACGAGAATACGTGCGTTTTGTCTCAGATGTTGCGGATACAGAGAGTCCGAGATGGAATATTACGCTAAACTACAACAACAACGAGGAGACATGAGCTAAGCAAACACGAGACCGTGCGAGAAGGATGAATGAAAATTTCAGAATTCTGTATTGGACAGACTGTACACAAGAGAAACTAAACGATTCGAAAGTGAATCAAAGAGGACACTGGATTTTGGAGCCTTGGAAAACGTAAACATTTCATTGTTACGTATTTATTTGACTCTCCAAAGCAACATATGGAAAGTGCGATCCGGCGACCTTCTAATGTAGTACTGCGTGAATCTGTAGAAACTGTTTCAGTTAGCTTTTTAGCCGTACGTCTTCATTGCCTAATAGTACGCACATTAAAAGAAACTGCAATAAATACGTGAGTTTTGAAGCAACAGAAGGAATGGGTGAGAGTCAGTCAGGTTCATTGTTAATTGAAAAATAAAACACAGGTTGCCGTGAAGCAGCACAAAACAAATTTACATATTTCTAATATTCAGGAAACGCCCGTCAACTGATGTATTGTTTACTGAGAAAGCCAGAAGAAAGAAAAGGAAAATGCAATATTTTTTATACAGCGCACCGATATAGTTTTTAAACCTTGATATCATTTTGAGCGCTTTGGTGTTAGACTTATGTTCCCAACATCGTGACCGAGTGGTTCATGTACAGGGCTGTGTAAAGGGAAATAAAAGCGCTCGTAATGTGTACAATTATTCTTATAGTTCGGGATAAACATGTAAATAAGATTAGAAATCATTTATAACTAGATTGTTTCTCATCCATAAAGACTTATTTAATAACGAATTTGTTTTTGAATTTGAACAACTACATTAGTTGTTTTGTTACTTACGAAACGGTAGTACAGGGAGATACAGTGTTTTTTTCACCTTGTTGGAATAGACCATATTCGTACTCTCGGTATTGGATTGGAACTAGCTTGCAACTGAGGTTAATGCGGGGAATCATTTCAAATGCAAATGACATTAATCTCCTTTTTAATGATATTCCCCGCATGAGCCTCCATTGCAAGCTAGTTCCAGTCCAATACCGAGAATGCGAATATGGTCTATTCTGTTAAACAGTTACAGTAGTTATTAATGTCATTCGTGTTAAGTGAGGAACAAAAAAAAAATATTTATAGACATAAACTCCAACAGAAAATAAACAATTACGCAACAACAAACAACAATAAACATACATTTGTTTGGCATTGTAAAAAAACCCTAAAGTCAATCTTTAATTATCAATGGTCATCATGGAAGGCAAGTTTCGTTCTTCAGAAACAACAGTCTTCAGAAACTTCATTAGCCTCTCACTGAACACATTGTCCTTATCAATGGCTCTAAAAAAAGCATTTTTCATCATGTGAAAACGGCGCGTGCGTTCCTCCGCAGAGTATCTCCAAGGGGATCAATTTTCTTGGTCCAATGAGCCACAATTAAGGAGGTCCAGAGCCGTTATAGCTTTGAGTGAGTTAGTCATCTTCCCAGTACGCCTATCGAAACGCGCGCTTTCAAGAATGGACTTCGCGAGGCGACGGCACTTGCCAACCTCTCTACGGGCGCCGAAATCGAGCATTTGCTGTGAAGATCGAGGAAAAACTGCCTCCCCCAGCGTGGAAACTTCAACTGCAGCTCGACCACTATGTCTGAAAAATTATGCTCATGATTCCTCAAATTGGATCTATCTACTTGGAAAGTGAGTCACATTAGCGATTCTCGGCCTCTGTTTTCGAGTAATAGCTTCTCTGGCTGGCTTAAGCCTCTTTAGAGCGGCGTCGCTATTAACAAAATTTAAGACGCCTCGAATTTAAGACTAAAATCAGTTTTTAAAGTCAACTGTTCAATGTTCTTATTCTCAAACGTAAAAGGGGATCTGGCTTCGTTGTCAGTTCAATAATTGGCGTCATGGTGAATCCAGGAATCTCTTCAAAGACAAACTGTTGTATGACAGTGGATAACACAGCTTTCATCTCCACCATGGCAAACTTATTGCCTATACACGAATAAGGACCAGTAGAAAACGGCAAAAAGGCATAAGGATGGACTGGGGGATGACTGTCATCTGTAGGAAAACAATCAAGCTTTATTAAGAATGAAGATTAATTTGCTCCTGATTTGCACGCATTATGGTTGGCTTTTCTGCATTATAGAATTGACAACGACTACACTTATTAGCTATAAGATGGGATATGATGCAAGGCCATCACAAATTACTTCCACCGCCTGTTTCTCCCAGTGCAGGCTGTGCCAACAATTCCCTGTTATGCATCTGCACTTCTGGGTGACCAAACGAGGCCTGCAATCCACTGAAGCAATGTTATCAATGGGGTCCTGTTGGTCAAATCAGGTCAATAAGATTGTCCGAACACTCTCTGAGATTTGCTATCAAATTTACCTGTGTCATCTAATGTTTTAATGTTCTCATGTGGTGCATAAGAGCTTACCATTTTCGTCAAATCTTTGTGGATCAAAAGCATGAGGATCCTTCCAGAACTTTGTTGAATGGTGTACAGTGTCAATTCTTAGAAACACAGTAGTACCCTTGGGAATTTCATATCCACCAATCACATCATTTTCTTTTGCAACACGTATTTTCTTACGTCTTGATTTGAGAAGAAATATGGATTAAACTTTACTATTTGGAGTCAACATAACTACATGTACCACAGTTTTGAAACCTTTGGGATTGAATGTCCGTCACCGGGAATACTCCCTTCAACAGATTATATGGAGAGGCCCTGAGCTGTGCAAAGGGATTCTTAGTGTCTTTACGCTGGGTTTAGAGATTGCAAGAGGTCAAGTATAGTAAAGAGTAGAAAAAACTGTCATGGACAGGATATTAAAGGGCGTGGGAGATATGGTATATAAAAGGGCAAGGGTTTGGACCTCCTAGGCCAGTAAAACGCTCTTGGTAACCTCCCCATTCCCACCACCTAGTCTTGGCAAATGTTTTTATTGTTCTTTACAGAACTAATGCCCTTTTGTTCAGCTGGGGAGACTGACTGTTATTGTCTCCATGAGCTTACTGAAATTAGACTTCTCAAAATGTGAAAAAAAACTTGAAAAGGATATATATGCTCTGCAAACTGGATTATGGACTCATAACGTAATAGAAGTATCTAAGTATCTACATGCTGCTATAATATACGGGAAGTTGAGCTCAGACCTTAATGCCAGTAACTATAAGTACATGATAGTACATTTATTGATAGAAAATATTTAAATTGAAATGAAAACTATTAAAGTTTTAAATTAAAACTAAATGACAGCTATTCTAAACAAAACTTATAGTATATTGCTAGATTAAATTGGAATATGAGTCTATATGAATTCACCTCAAGAACAGTTCCATCTGTTATTTCACGTGCTACCTTTGCCCTTTTATTTTCAGTCACTGGAAGTTAGTCATACAGTGGAATGAATCTCTTTCTCATGATTCGGCCGAAAGCAGCACCTTCGAAAACAGCAGAAAATGCACTTGAAATTTCAGTTTCTCCTGAGAGCAATCTGTTGAAGTGATAACCAAAAGCATACCTCCTAATGATGTCTAGCGTCAGATGAGCCAAGTCTGTGAAGACAGGCACCTCCAAGACTCCTTCAGTTGAACTGGTCAATTGCCCTGTCCAGAGCTGTTTTCAAAACAATAAAACAAATGAACCATATATTCAAAATAAAACGAAGTTCCAAATGTTAACAACTGAGGTATTATAAGCCTAAATATCTTTTAATGTTCAAATATTAGCGGAACTCCTGCGCGCCGAAGTCGCGCGAACGGAGCCCCATGCCTTAGAAAATTTGGTAACCCATCGATCTAAAAAATTTTGGTTGTCACGTGACTGTCCGTACGTACGTCCGTCCGTACGTCAAGCCCAATACCTTGAAAAATAAGAGATTAACACTATTACCATAGGTACATATTGGACATCCATGTTATGGTTAATTGACAGCTGTCAAAACGAGGTATCCACTGACCAGTATCACATGACGATATCGGGATGCATATGTAATTGTTTTTACGCAGAACCGAAAAATACATAACGAACCAAAACAACAAGAAGAATAACAAACACCACAGTTGACTATGTTAAGCTTAAAGCGTATCCTGTCGATTCAATTGAAGGAAAGCAGCGACTCTCGTCCGATCACCGAAGTTTCAAAAGCCCTGTCTGGCAGGGTTGGTATTTGGGTGGGTGACCTACGGGGAAATTACCCGGTGTTGTTGGCTTTTCTCTTTCTTAACATTTTTGTCAATTTTTCGCGACGATTCACCGACTTTTGTTCCAGGCCTTGCATTTATTTTAACCTCACGGTAGATTCGTTAGCGATAAACTCACTAACTCACAAACTCACTAAGCGAGAATTTGAAAACTAGCTAGTGGGAAATTGTAAACTTGCCAGCAAGAATATGACAACTCACTTGCGAGAAATTGTAAACTCGCTGACAAGAAAATGAAATCTCGCCAGCGTGAAGTGAAGCTTCTCAAAAGCAACTCAACCGTAGCTTTCTAGACTTTCTAGAACTCAATTAACCATACATCTTCGAAACTGATCACGTAAGCTTTGCAAGTCCACGATACTGAAGGCCGGTTGGACCAGCATTTACAAGTCTTGACGACCCCTTAACCAGGAAACAAGCAAATTTTGCTTGATTCGCGACTCCAACTTGACTCGGCCTCGAACTTAACTAACGTGCTACGATACAATTCGCGCTGCCAGTTACACAGTACTCTGAGAGCACATGTAGTTAGTCTTTATAAACTTGAGTTCCACTAACCAAAACCACGATTGAAACGAAAGATTGGACCATACTTTTCACTCCAGCATCAACTTCAAATGGTTTTTCGCACGCAGAAATGTCCACACATGGCCAAAAGGAGGAACGAATTAAAATTGAAATTTTAAAGAGGTGCAGGTCATCTGACCTGACCCCCATAGAGACGGTCTCGTGACGGTCCTCGTCACGGGAGAAGTGGGAGAAGGGTACTACTAGAATCCACCATTTTACAGTTGTCTGTTCAGTGACCTGGTCTTGAATGGCAACGAGGGTGGAGGTGACCTTGTTTTGACAAAGACCTCACTGTTTTTTCTGTGTAAATCAAGTTGTTCGTATGCTAATTAGTTGGCATTTGCATGAGAAAAGCAGAGAGATCTTTATCAAGGCAAGGTCACCTTCAGCCTCGCTTGTAGTCATAGCCCAGGTATCTAAGCACACAACTGTAAAATGACCTATTGACGGATGCATTTCTTCTTCAATTTTCACCTCTAGTTTTTCCTGTGACTTTATTTAAGTGTCATGACCGTATAACTTGTAAATTATCATTAATAGTCCAATGCTAATGTGTGGACACCAATTAATACTAGTTATTGAAAAAGTACAAAAAAGATATAGAATTATGATAAGTGCAGGGCGTTGCGTGAAATGGTCGTTAATAAATGCAAAGTCCTATGTAAAAATCAATTCAACGAAGAAATATACGTTACAAATTTATAATTAATAGATAATAATTTATTAACAATTAGTTAATTAATTTATTAGTTTATAATTAATTTATAATTAATTATTGCAAATTATAGTTATAAATTATCGTAAAAAACATAGCTTCACTGGCTAGTTTTAGTATGTATATTGTCTTATTATCGACTCCGACCTCATGTTTAGCAAAATTGTAACACAGGCAAAACTATTTTAATATTCAACTTGTCAATTTTTTATCCTCAAACGTAATGGTGGATCTGGCTTTGCTGTCAGTCGAATAATTGGCGTCACAGTGAATCCAGGAATCTCTTCAAAGACAAACTGTTGTATGAGAGTGGATAACACAGCTTTCATCTCCACCATGGCAAACTTGTTGCCTATGCACGAATAAGTACCCGTAGAAAATGGCAAAAAGGCATAAGGATGAACTGGGAGATGACTGTCATCTGTAGGAAAACAGACAAGCTTTATTAACAAGGAATATTGCACCCGCTTTCACTAGTGTTGGGTGCATAGGCGACACCTTTCGACATGCCATCTTTCGACATGCTATGTAAACGGCTGAAAGACCGTTAAACTGTGAAACTGGCAATTTTTCCGGTTATTAGCAGGAGAAACGGCAAATAAATGATAATTACTGACCTCAAATGGCTGAAGGAGATTGCGGACTTTGCGTGTTTCCCGATTTACGGGATAATTCAAACGATTTTAGTGTAATCGATCGGTTCCCAATAGTGACTAGGCCACTGCCGCTTTTGATATTCGCAAGGTGTAAACATTTAAAACAGTCGATTCATTTCTCCCGGAATGACTTCCTCATACTCCTAACTCTGGTTTGATGTCAAATAAATCCATCTTTCATCACTAAAATTCGAGTTCGACCGTGAAGAAGTCAGTTTCTGCTTACATGTTTGACGTAGGCCAGGTTACATAGCATGTCGAAAGATGTCACCTATGGGTCCCTGTGCACGTAACACTGAAAGCGAGCGTAACTTGCACGCATTATGGTTTGAATTGGTAACAACTACACTTATTGGCTCCTGGATGGGATGATGCTGGGCCATCAAATTACTTCCGCCCCCTCTTCAGTGCAGGTCGTCCCTTCAGTTCGCTGTTATGCAACTGCACTCCTGGGTGACCAAACGAGGCCTGCAATCCACTGAAGCAATGTTATTAATGGGGTCCTGTTGTTGGTCAAATTAGGTCAATAAGACTGTCCGATCACTCTCTGAGATTTGCTATCAAATGAACATGTGTCATCTAATGTTTTAATGTTCTCATGTGGTACATAAGAGCTTACCATTTTCGTCAAATCTCTCTGGATCAAAAACACGAGGATCCTTCCAGAACTTTGTTGAATGGTGTACAGCGTCAATTCCTAGAAACACAGTAGTACCCTTGGGAATTTCATATCCACCAATCACATCATTTTCTTTTGCAACGCGCACTGCCATAATTGCTGGGGCGTGCAGCCGCAGAGATTCCTTTATTACATTTCCAAGAAACTTCAACTCGGCCAGTTTTGCCCACGTCAATTCTGATGAGTCCTTCATAACCAACTGGATCTCTTCTCGGACCTGTTCAGCTATGTCTGGGTGTCTCGCAAGTTCATACAAGGTCCACATCATGGACACACTGGTAGTTTCATGACCAGCTAACATGAAGGTAAACACCTGGGCTCTGAGAAGTTCATCATCCATGGTGGCCCCTGTTTCCTCGTCGTGTTGGTCCATAAGCAAGCTTAACAAGTCTCTCTTAGAAGACTCAATTCCTTCTTCCTTTTTCTTACGTTTTGATTTGATTATCTTTAGTAAAGAAATATGGATTACTTTACTATTTGGAGTCAGCTTAGCTGTACCACAGTTTTGAGACCTCTGGGACTGAATGCCCTCTCCCTGAAGGTACTCCCTACAGTAGATTATATGGAGAGGCTCTGATCTGTGCAAAGGGATTCTGAGTGTTTTTACGCTGGGTTTAGGGATTTCAAGAGCTTAAGTATAGTAAAGAGTAGGCCAAACTGTCACGAACAGGATATTAAAGAAGTGTGGGAAGGGGCACACCTTTTCTGTGTCAGAAATGGTATCTAAAGGGGCAAGGGTTTGGACCTCCTCAGCCCAAAAAACCTAGTTCATAACCTCCCCACTCACACCACCTAGTCTTGCAAGGCAACTGTTTTTATTGTTCTTTGGAGAACTAATGCCCTTTAATTCAGCTGGGGAAACTGATTGGAACTTACTGAGCTTACTTGATAAAGACAGTTTTCAAAATATTGAAAAAGAGAAGTTGAAAAGGATAATGTTCTGCAAAGGGGATTATGGACTCATTGCATAATGTAATGGAGGGATCTAAGTATCCACATGCTGCTATAGTTTGCAGGGAGTTAAGCCAGGCGTTAGTGGCTTACAATGATAAGGATGCCATTACCCAGGTACATGTAAGTGTATGAATTCATATAAATTCACCTTAAGAACAGTCCCATTTGTTATTTCAAGTGCTTTCTTTGCCCTTTTATTCTCGGCCAGTGGAAGGTAGTCATATAGTGGAATGAATTTCCTTCGCAAGACTCGGCCATAAGCAGTGCCTTTGATAGCAGCAGAAAATGCACTTGAAATTTCAGTTTCTCCTGACAGCACAGTGTTGAAATGATAACCAAAGGCACACCTCCCAATGATATCTAACGTCAGATGAGCCAAGTCTGAGTAGACAGGCACCTCCAAGAATCCTTCAGTTGTATTGGTCAATTGTTCTGTCCAGAGCTGTTTACAAAAAACAAATGATCCTTATGATCAAAATAAAAGCAAGTTCCAAATTTGAACAACTTGGAGTTGTAACCCAAGTATGTTTTCAATTTTCAAATACTGGACACTAACAGCAGATATCTTTCCAAATAAATCAAAAAGGCTACTGATTTGTGCAATCAAAACCATTGACTGAACCAAGCTAGTATATTTTATTAAAAATAATTTGCTGCGCATGCACAAGTTAGGTGTGATCAGTTACGTCATGCCATTTTTTTTTTTTAAATATATTTATTTGTTTATATATTGAAGAAATATTATATGTATTTGAAACCATACACTCGCACGATTTGTTATTTATAGCTCACCTTCACAAGATTGCTGGTAACATCTTCAAAATCATCTACCATCCCGGTCAAATTATTATAATTAAATGTAGGATTGATCATTTTACGTTGATGAGCATGATCTTTCCCAACAGAGGAGAATAAACCGTTACCAATGCTGGGTATAAGAAACTGCAAAATTGGAGCGCGATCATAGTTCTTGGAATTTGTTACAGCCACATGCTTGATCAGATCAGGATCGGACAAGACGACTCTTGGTTCCCCTAGGTACAGAACAGTCACAAAGGCATATATTACAAAATAAATGTACATTCTATCATATGCATGTCTCCATACAAATACTAACTAGACTTGATGGAGTGGGCAGCAAAATATAAAGAATATAGCCTTTAACAAGCTCAGCTGGCTTATCTCAGGTTTCTGTGGCATGAAGTGGCTGGGAATATTAAATGACAATAAAACCCAGGCTACATGGAATTCTTGTCTGTTGCAGGCTACTCCCCAATATTCAGCCAGGTTGTCCCAGGTTGTCAGAGTTACTAGTACCATAGTACGAGTCAAATTAGAGCCCCATTGTGAGTAATAAGTCAAGTTCGCGTCAAGGTAGATCTGTTTTTTGTGTGTTTGATTGTTTCATTGGTCTTTTCGTGTGTTTTATTAGTCTCTTTTTTAACTGCTGATTACGAGGGATCTGTATAAAAGGTGGGAGACTTTTTAAGGTATCATAACAGCTTTGAGTTTCAATCGCTACGAAATCAAAACAGTCAAAATTTTCGTCATCGTTAACATGCCTACACAGAGTGTATTGCTCGTGAAAATTCAGTCAGAGGGAGTCAGCAAGGCCTCCGGGACAATAGTTGTCTCCGTTGGTAACAAACGGGAATCTCCCGGTGTAATTGCCGTTTTGCTGTGCAAACTGCTGCTTCCATCGACTGTCGCTGTGTTACCTATCTGTCCATGTCCGTATCTGAAAGTGTTCTTGAGAGTACGCCAGTCGCTGAGAGTACGTAGTTGACTTCACTTAGTCTCTCTCCACCATCTACGACCCACTTGCCGATCCTGCTCTTGATTAGTCCAGCATTTATCCTTGATCCACTATCTACCTGCAGCCATAGAGAAGAGCTCTTCCTTTGCTGTTGCCTTCCAAATCCTTGAAGACTCCACTATGAAAGGTAGACCGAAGCTTGTAGACAACAGAGGCTGCTGCTTCAACATCAAACGTCACAGAGCCAATGTGACTGACTGGCAATGCCCAGTCAGGCCAGAGGTACCTATTGCTAAGTTATCTCAGTTGCTTATTTTATCATTATGGTTTCTAAAACTCGATTAACTAGTTAATTGATTCTCCTCAAGGTCAACCCATGCCAGTTCCTGGCCTGTGTCCGTTGTTACGTCGGGAAGGAAGAAGAATGACTATTACAAGTCCTTAAGCAGCTTCCCCGATCGACTTTGACCTTCACCTTAGACTTTGAGAGAGCAGTCTGAGCAGCCTTGAGAAGGGTGATCCCGCATACCAAACTGCAGGGATGCGTGTTTCATTGGACGCAGGGTGAATTTCTCAATGGGAAATCAACCCAATCTCGTTCCAGAGTCTTCGTCCCCCTTGACCAGCGGTCGGAAAACGAGAGCTCTGGGAGCAACCATTTTGAAATAACCGAATTCTGGTGATTCTGCCTATCCGGTTTCACTGCGCAATCTGCATCTACGGCGCATGCCTGAAATGGTTGCTCCCAGAGCTCTCGTTTTCCGACCGCTGGTCAAGGGGAACGAAGACTCTGGGAACGAGATTGGAAATCAACCCAGTCAAATAAACGGAATCGTACGTACTACGAGTTTTTTTTTTTATCGAATTTGAAATTGATGTTACTGAAAAAGCAAATCAGCTCTAAATTCAATTTTTTATTTTATTCCGTTTTTCCCCAGGTGCAGGAATTCGACTTACCGTCGGCGTACAAACATGATTGCGGTGCCTACTCCTTCATAAGGAAGATAATGGCGCCGCCCTTCCTGCCTAAAAACGAGATCAGACCAATGTTTTACCACCTCCAGCGCCAAGCTCCCGTTACACTGCAGCCGTTCACAGAGTACGTATCCAGCAACTACACCACCTGGGCACCTTCAGACTGGACCGTCTTCACGCAAGCCGTACGGACCAACAACGAGGTCGAGGGGTGGCCTCATGGCCTCGACCGCCGAGCCTCTGGACGTGGACAGCTGCACTTGTGCCTACTATCAGGTTCTAGTGGAAATCCTGCAACCCTTACCATTCTCACGACAAAAAGGGAAACCTACATGTCATGTAAAACGACAAAAACAAGAGAAGAAAATGTCGATGGCCAAAAACTGCTATTTGTACCAGGTGAGTTTATTTAAAACGAGGCAAAGACTCGAAGTGATAACCTTTATTCAGTAATCGATTAAAAGTCAATTAACAGCAGTTTTAAACACATCCAGACTCCAGACAGGCTCACAAATCCATTCGGTGGATTCTTTTCGTTGTTAATTTCTTCCTGGCACTGTAAAGTGTAAAGATGATGTTCACTCGCCACGCCATCTTGTTCACTCGACGAGTCTGATCCACTCAAGAATCGTCGTTTCCTAATTCCAGTGGTTCGAGCTGACATTGTTGTATTTAATGGACAGTCTCAAATCAGATATCAAAATCGTAATCCATTCACACGTCGGCTCGTCAATTAACTCCAGAAAATACTTGAAACAAACTCAATTACTACAAGGAAATCATTTGGTCTTGAACATAACCTCACCACATATGACGTCACAAATACCTACATGCATATTCGTTTCCACTCTTAACGCGGCCATTTCTGGTTTGTTTTCGCAAAGTTTTCGGAGAACGTCTTTTCGTGTCTTGAGAGTCACAGTTCGCAAAAAATCACTTTTTTAGAGTCGATTCTGCTTCATGTTGGTATAGCTGATTTTGTGTCCAAATTTCTTTGCATTTGGGTTTTCCTACCGAAACGATATCCGTCAGGTGTCCCTGACCTATTTCAGTTTTCGGCAGAGTTTTCGGTTCATCATTGTTTCGGTTTCAGTCTTCGGGCTACTGAAGGAATACCACCTCTAACTTTGCAGTCAGAGGGGGAGAAAATAGATGAGGGTGGCAAAGGGTTTTTGCGTGACGCGTGATCGCCCCAAAATTAGCAGAGACCATTATAAAATTTTCCGTCCAAAATTAGCAGAGTTATCATAAAGACGTTATGCATCAGTCAATTCCAGCAGTGCCCATCCCGCCCCCCCCCCCCCGGGCTCACCCCCGGGCATTAGCATTTTTTTAAAAAAATGGGCAAATTCCCCGGGGTGGGGACAAAGAAAGAGGGCAAATGCCCCGCCCCCGGGATCGTCACCTTCCAACACCTCTGCAGTTTTTTAATTAATCAGTGAATAAAACGGTAAGACTTCAAGGACAACAGTACGTGTTAGTTGATTCTGATTATATTTATTTCGTTATATTTGTTTTTAACAGCTTGCTAGAGGATAGCTGGGATTGCGGTGGACGTGCCCCCAGCCGCGAGCGATGATAGGCGCCTGTATTCACAGGCTACTTTCTCTGTGAAGAATCAAGACATTTTAAACGATGATGCATTGCATTTTAAGCTCGTAAGATCTGTCTTGANCCGCTCGCGGAGCTTGCCATATAATAATCTTTATTTTATATGTGAAGCCGATTAGATTACTATTGATCCAACGTGTACCAGCAGGATCATCGTTCCGGTTGCTTGCTTAAACATTTCATACCCCTTTTATCGACCCGTTTAGGGTCGAGAAAGTAAAATTGGTGATGTACTTACTTCATTTTACGTGACACGTGATTTGTGAAAAACATTCTCCGTGACACGTGATTTAATAGAAAAATTTAGCGTGATTGGTACCCCCGCCCGCCCCCTTTTGCCACCCTCATAGATGCTTTATGGTCGACTGATTATGGAAAGATATGCGAGAAATTAGCGAAGGTTAAGCTTGTTCTCATCACCAAACTGGGGTTTTTGCGTAGCTGACTGCAGATGATGAATATATCAGCTGTAACTGTGGAAAACTTTCTTTAACGGATCTACCAGACGTTTATCCACAACATAGGGGGCGCGTATGTAATAGCTCATTAACCAGAACCGAAAAATTCCAAACGAGACAAAACAACAAGAAGAATAACAAACACCACAGATGATCATGTCAAGCTAAGCGTATCCGGATCCTGACGACTCTTTCGAAGGAAAGCTCTGCCTCGTCTTATCACCGAAGTTTTAAAAGCCCTGTCTGGCAGGATTAGTACTTGGTTGGGAGTATCCGGTGTTGTTAGCCTTTCACTTTCTGAACATTTTTTGTCAATTTTCCCTCGACGATTTACCGACTTCAGTTCTAGACCTTGCATTTATTTACCTGAACTTTTTATATGAAAACTCGCTAGTGAGAAATTGAAAACTCGCCAGCGTGAGCCAGCAAGAATATGAGAAGCCGCTTGCAAGAAATTGTAAACTCGCTGGCAAGGGAATGAAAACTCACCAGCGAGACCTGAAGCTTCCCAAAAGCAACTCAACCAGCGAGCTTTCTAGAACTCAACCATACATCTGCGAAACTGACAGGCCATGTAAGCTTTGCAACTCCACGATACTGAGGGCCGATTGGACAAGGATTTATGAGTCTAAAGACCAAACAAGCGAATTTAACTTGACCCGTGACTCAGCGTGACTCCAACTTGACTACGATCACCGTACGATACAACTCGGGGTGTCAGCTACTGAGAGCATTTTACAGTTACATGTACCTAAAGACAATTTCTTTAATTATGGCTTACTTTTCTTGAGTTTGTGTTCCACTTACCAAAACCAAGATTGAAACGAAATATTGGACCGTACTTTTCACTCCAATCCCGCATCAACTTCAAATGGTTTTTCTCACGAAGAAAAGTCCACAAATGACCAAAAACAGGAACAGAACCATCGGGCTTTGGAATTTTTCTCAACGGCGATGTAAATTCCTCTTTACAGAACGTGTACATGAACCATAGCAAAATAGAAACGGTCAGAATAAACATGATCATTTTGGATGTTTAACCTAGACTTTAGAAATACAAAAACCCTGTGAATATTTGATCTCTTCTTAGCGAAGGAAACAGTCACGCACACTTGGCCATGACACTCCAACTCGCCCTACTCCTGTAAGTAACCCAAACTGACCTCCGCTCGAGACGGTTTCGTGACGGTCCTCGTCACGGGTAATTTGACCGTCACGCACGTCACATCATGATTCAACACTTGCTAATACCGCGCGGTTGACGGGGAGGTGGGTGAAGGGTACTACTTGAATTGACTGATGCATTTCTCCTTCAATTTTCACCCCTTTACCTTCCCCTAATTTTTCCTATGACTGGTATTTGAGTGTTGCAACCGTATTATTTTGGAAATTTTAACAGTCCATACTAATGTGGGAACACTAATTTATACTGGTTATTGAAAAAGCACAAAAAAGACGTAGAATTATGATAATGGCTCTGTCATTTCAAAGCCCGCCCATCATTCCCCAGCCATAACCCACACGGTGGGCCGTGAGAACAGTGCAAATGCCCCATAATAAAAGTTAAAGCTCAACACTTCTACGTAAAAAAGGATCTTCTGTTAAAGTGCCACTATGACGAAATTCTCGATATCCATTTTTTTTACATTTTCGTAGGCAATAGGTCTTTCCTAGATAGCTTGCCAAATTTCAATCTGTTACGAACATTAGAACTCGCGGTTTTTAGACCTTTATTTCCGAGAATTTACGGCCGCCATTAATTTTCCTCGTTTCAAGTTTTGGTTGAGAATTGGAGAAAATGATGTCATTTTCTCAAAAATACCGCACTGGTTGAAATTATAATAACAATTAATGTAGAAAATTGCACAAATATATGAGCCAAAGTTTTTGTTATTCTTTATGCGAATTGCTGTAGTAATTGTTATTATAATTTCAACCCGTGTATTATTTTTGAGAAAATGATGTCATTTTCTCCAATTCTCAACCAAGACTTGGAACAAGGAAAATTAATGGCGGCCGCAAATTCTCGGAAATAAAGGTCCAAAAAAACATGAGTTCTAATGTTCGTAATAGATTGAAATTTTCCAACTATCTAGGAAAGATCTATTGTGTACGAAAATGTAAAAAATGGGTATCGAGAATTTGATCATAGTCAGTGGCACTTTCATAATTTGGTATTAAAATCTTGTTATAGTTTGATCATGACTGTTATTCATGTGTAATCAACTCTTTTACATAAAGCGTACTGAAATTGATTCAAACATGGTCAGAAGTAGCGCACAGCGATCTCCGCAAAGACAAAGACAAACCTCCAAAGAGGCTGTTTGCAGAGAAAACTCGTTGAAAGAAGGCTTATCCCTGTTATTGTTATATAATAAGCTTATACGTTTACATATTATTGTCATCTATCGTGTTCGCAATCGCTTCTCGACTCGATTTTCTCCGGCACGTGGAACATGAATTTATCGCGGTGGTAGTGAGTCACGAGGTAGCTTCCAGTGGGTTAAATGAACAGAATTTACAATTACGTTCTTTACGTAAGCGTAATCCCCTTGATGTTTAATAAAACAGGCTTGCGTTTTTACAAAGTGCTGACGTATAATTATATAGTATAATAAAAAGAAACATCAAATAAATAGCTTCACTGGCTAGTTTTAGTATGTGCATTGTCGCCTCAAGTTAAACAAAATTTTAGACAGGCCAAACTAAAATCATTTTAGTAGTCAACTGGTCAATTGCCTTATCCTCAAACGTAAAGGGGGATCTGGCTTTGCTGTCAGTCGAATAATTGGCATCACAGTGAATCCAGGAATCTCTTCAAAGATAAACTCTTGTAGAAGAATGGATAATACAGCTTTCATCTCCACCATGGCAAACTTATTCCCTATGCACGAACGAGGACCAGCAGAAAATGGCAAAAAGGCATAAGGATGAACTGGGGGATGACTATCATCTGTAGGAAAACAAACAAGCTTTTTAAGACTGAATATTAATTTGCACGCATTTAAGGTTTTATTCAAGAACACTACGTTAAAGGTATAAAGTCAGCATACGAGCCAAGTGGTCGATCAGGCCGGTGATTATTTCTGGTTTCTGCAGCATGAAATGATTAGGAGTGTTTCTAGTCCCCCTAAGTGGAATGATAATCCATCACAGGGTACCCCGCCCCCCTCTCTCTCCCAGCATTAAATTCACAGGTAATGACGGTGTCCTCAGCCAGGGCTGGAGTATGATCTGGAGTAAAGCGCACAATTCATGAGGCCACTGCACCTCCACAATTCAAGAACAACCAGCACTAATTATTCCCTTTTCTGTGCCAAGGGATTGTTACCACTACACTTTGTTGGATTTTGGATGGGATCTGATGCTAGGCCATAACAAATATTACTTCCTTCTCCAGTCCTAGTGCAGTCTGCCCTAACGATTTGGCCTACAATCCACTGATTGAAGCAACGTTATTAATGGAGTCCTGGTGTTGGTACCCTTAATCAAATCATTTTAATAAGACTGCCAGATCTCCCTCTGAGATTGGTTTGTCAGTTTAGATATGTCTCATCTAATACTTGATGTTCTCACATGCTACATAAGAACGAATACTATAAGAGCATACCATTTTCGTCAAATCTTTGTGGATCAAAAGCATGTGGATCCTTCCAGAACTTTGTTGAATGATGTACAGCGTCAATTCCTAGAACCACAGAAGTACCCTTGGGAATTTCATATCCACCAATCACATCATTTTCCTTTGCAGTACGTACTGCCATAGTTGCTGGAGAGTGGAACCGCAGAGATTCCTTTATCACATTTCCAAGAAACTTCAACTCGGCCAGTTTTGCCCACGTCATTTCCGATGAGTCCTTCATAACCGACTGAATCTCTTGTTGGACCTGTTTAGCTATGTCTGGGTGTCTCGCAAGTTCATACAGGGTCCACATCATTGACACACTGGTAGTTTCATGACCAGCTAACATGAAGGTAAACACCTGGGCTCTGAGAAGTTCATCATCCATGGTCGCTCCTGTTTCTTCGTCATGTTGGTCCATAAGCAAGCTTAACAAGTCTCTTTTAGAAGACACAATTCCTTCCTCCCTTTTCTCACGTTTTGCTTTGATAACCTTTAGAAAAAAATGGAATAAACTTGACTATTTGGATTCAACTTAACTACATGTACACAGTGCGTGCCCTCTGGGGTTGAATGCCCCCTCCTTGGGGGTACTCTCTACAATAGGATATATGGAGAGGTCCTGATCTGTGCAAAGGTAAGAGATTTCATGAGCACAAGCATACATTGTACAGTAAAGAGTATGCAAAATTGTCATGGAAAAAATTTAAAAGAGCGTGTGAGAGGGGTGCACTCTTCTGTCAAAGCTGATTCACAACAGGCTAAGAGTTTTTAAAACCTGCAGTGCAGTCAGATGTGTCACAAAATTCACAATATAGTATGTATACCAGTGGCATAGACTATCTGTGACACAGGCTTGGATCTCCCCAGCGTAAAAAAATTTGTCTGTAACCCCTATCACCCTGCTTATATCCAGGCTTGAAAGAGAACTGTTATTTTTTGTTACTAATAGATTTAATGCCCTTTTGTTCAGCCAGGAAGACTGAGGTATTGCCCTCATAGGGTGACTGGAATTGGACAGGTCTCAAATTACTGAAAAAGAAGTTACAAAGGACATCCATATGAATACTCTGTACACTTGATTAAGAAATCATAGTTTAATATGATACAATGATCATAGTATTCACATGCTGCTGTAATTTTCAGGAAATTAAGCCCAGGCCTTTAAGTGGCTCACAATTACACTGAAAATTTTTATAACATGAAGTAGCTAGGATTAATGCTCCTTCATCTACTCTCCTTAGATGCGAAAGTACATCAGTACCCTTAGCACTTTGGGCAACTTGGCAGTACTGATTTTGTGCTCCTTTTGTGGAGATCTGAGGCACTTTGAGAGCAAAAAGAGTTGTCCAAAAACATGAAAGAAGTTATCCCAGCCAGCACTTGAATCTGGACAGTTCAACAAAGATTCTATTCCACTACTCAGGGTTTGTACTCATTTGAGCCTTTAAAATTCCATGACTTTCCAGGCCTGAAAATTGAAATTATAAATTCCATGACTTTCCTGGATTTCCATGACACGTACGAACCCTACTACTTCGGCCATTTTTTTCGGTCACCATGCCTCTCAGGCCTCTCGTGCCATTATGTTTTTCATCAGTGATTTTAATAGAGCTTCTTTAATATGTAGTTTTTAAAGAGAACTGAATCGATTTGCACTTTAAAAATTAAATAATAAAAATAATAACTGAATAGTAATGTAATAATGCAATCTTTAAGTCATAGTTAACAGGCTTAGGGTCATCGGGAAAACTGATTTAACACTGATCTTTGGGATTAAAGTGTAAATAAAGCTTTTTCTAACATCATCTTAAATTTATTGCTCAATGGCAAAATTATTTGCCAGAAGCAAGCTTTGTAATGTTTCCAGGCTGCTAAAATTAGTCCTTGAGTTGCTTACAGCAGCCACAGTGGCCCTTAGGGATGCCATAAGCTAACTAACTGCATTTACTGATAGGAACTATTTAAACTAAAAAGAAAACTATCAAAGAAAATATTTTTAAATAAAACTTACAGTGTATTGAATTGGTTACAAACTCACCTCAAGAACAGTTCCATCTGTTATTTCAAGTGCTTTCTTTGCCCTTTTATTCTCAGCCAGTGGAAGGTAGTCATACAGTGGAATGAGTTTCTTTCGCATGACTCGGCCAAAACCAACACCTTTGATAACAGCAGAAAATGCACTTGAAATTTCAGTTTCTCCTGAGAGCACTGTGTTGAAGTGATAACCAAAAGCACACCTCCCAATGACATCTAATGTCAGACGAGCCAAGTCTGTGGAGACCAGCACCTCCACGAATCCTTCAGTTGAATTGGTCAATTGTTCTGTCCAGAGCTGTTTACAGAAAAAAAATGAAACCACGTAATCAAAATTTGAACAATTTCCAAGTTGAAACAACAGAGGTGTTATAAGCTCAAGCATTTTCTTATCATTAAATATCACACACTACCTGCAAAGATATCTTGCCAAATAAATCCAAAAGGCCATTGATTTGTGCAACCAAAACATTGAGGGAATCAGAACTTTCACTGAGTAGCCAAGCTTTAAATTTGCTGCACAATGACATGCTCAAGTGGTGTGCATCAGTTACTGTAGTGTATATCATGCCATATAAATAATTACATGTAGTTATTAGTTAACTGAAGAAATATCATGAGTATTTAAAAATATAAACCCTTACTGTATAATACTTATAGCTCACCTTCACAAGATTGCTTGTAACTTCTTTAAAGTCATCTACCATCCCAGTCAAATTATTGTAATTAAATGCAGGATTGATCATTTTACGTTGACGAGCATGTTCCTTTCCATTGGAGGAGAATACGCCATTACCAATGCTGGGTATAAAAGTCCGTACAAATTCAGTGCGAGCATAGTTCTTCGAATTTGTTACAGCAACATGTTTGATCAGATCAGGACCTGACAAGAAGACTCTTTTTTCACCTAAAAAAGGTCATAATTAGGGCATTTAAAAATTTATGAACACTCTATCATGTCTCCATACAAATACTATCTAGACTTGATGGTGAGGGCAGCAAGTAACAAATAAAGCCTTTGAGCCCAGCTGGCTTATCTGTGGTTTCTGTGGCATGAAGTGGCTTAGAGAATTGCCTAGAATCTAGGCTAGATGGAATGTTAGTCAACTGCAGGTTACTCCCCAGCATTTAGTCAGGTTACCCCAACAATTTGCTGGTGACCAGTACTTTGTTATGTTCTCCTAGGGAAAGAAGGGAATGAAAAACTCAACACAAGATGTGGGGTCACACTCAACTGTACTGAGCACATGTTTCATACAAGTAGCCACTGACACAGTGGGCTCACAAACTGATAGCAATCACTCTTACACTATAAAACCTGCCCGCAGAAGATGTACTGTCATGCAACAAAACTAATCAAACAAGGTGATGCACCTGCAACTCTAATGTACATGTATCTAGTAATAAAAATAATACAGGAAATAATCAGTGTCATTCAGTTATGTTTGATGTCCTACAACAATGTCCAATGCTGCAAACGAATGTTAGCTCAGATTATTTCAATCAACCTCTGAGCTGGTTTTGAACCGCATTACAATTCAGCAGTACAATTCAAGACTAGAAGGGGTAGTGGTAGGGGGTGGTTCTTTTGGTCCACAATCATCTGGAATGGAACTGTTTGCTGCTCCAGGAGAATCTAGAGGATCTCCATCAGTGGTTGCTGTCTCTGCTGTAACGGTTCCTGAACTAGAACATGTTCAGATGAACATGGTCCAGGGTTTGCCAGACAACTCCATCTTGGAACTTGGCATCCTTGTTATCATTAGACTTAATTTTGCCTTGCTGAGAAGCCACACGACTAGCAAGATCAGGTCATGTCAGAGAGAGACGCGCATGAAGTTCTCTTCCAGGGAAGAACGGGGCAAGTGACATCCCTGTAGTGGCATGTGGTGTACTTCTGTAAGATAGGAGAAATCTAGTAATCTTCTGTTGCAGAGTGCTGGCAGGATCATTGGATTGACTTGTTCAGTGTAATGTAATTTGGAATTTGTATCAAAGATTAAAGATTAAAGAAGACTCAAAGGCATATGAAAAGGTCTGGACAAACCTTTCTGCTAAACCATCCGGTGATGGATGGAGGGGGGCACCAATATTCTATGAATGCTGTTTTGCTGCAGATTTCTTTATACTCAAGAGACTGGAAAGGTGGTCTGTTGTCACTATTTGGGCTGGGAGGCTGTATCTTGCAAAGAAACTGTGCAAAGCATTGCAGTTTGCTTCTGTGGTTGTTATCTTGATCTTCATTGGACCAATGACTTCTGGCCACTTGGAGTGGATGTTGACTATGAGAAGGTAGTAGTTGGACTGTCAAGTGTTGGATTGTAAGTGTCACCATGGAGTGGTGGGGAGCAGTGCAAGGCTGAGGAATTCCTCTCTGGTTTTGAGGCACTGCTGGGATCCACACACAGTATTCTCAATGTCACTGTCAATTCCTGACAACCAGACATGACTGCATGCCATAGCTTTCAAACAAGCCATACCAGGATGGGCTTCATGAAGCATTCTCAGGATTGGCAGTATGCAAACCTCACATAAGGCAGTCTTGCTACATGAAAAGCTTGATCTTGTTAGTGAAGAATAGCTTGAGTTGAGGATCATTACAGAAGTGGAAAGGCCAACCATCGAGGGTGAGTGATAGTGCCTGTGCAAATGTAGGATTCCTGGAAGTTCCCTTGGCAATCTCTGTGACAGAGACAGGGTGTCAGTTCAGCTGCTGACTGACCAGGAGGATTTCAAGAATATCTCCTCTTTAATGCTTCCATCTTTCTTGTACTGGAGAGGGATCCAAAACAAGACATCTGAGCTGGCTACTTCAGGAGGTGACTTGATTTCAATTTTGCAGTGGTACAAGGATAGAAGGAGGAACCAGTACTGTAGTCTAGCTGCTGCCAGGACTGGAGTGGTGGAGTCTCGTGGAGGTTTGTGGCCAGTTTGGACCATGAACTGTTGCCCAAGAAAATGCAATGTAGTATTTAGTGTTGCACAAAATGATGATGAGACCCTCTTTCACAATGTGACTGTAGTTTTTCTCTGACAAGTTTAACGGCCTGGAAGCATAATTAGCAATGGATCTTTCATTACCATTACAGAAGCGGTGCAGGATGATGGCTCCAATGCTAGTAACTGACTTGTGTCAGTTTCAAGGATGACTGGAAGGCTTGGATCATAGTAGACTACCACGAGGGAAGATGAGAGTGAGTCCTTGGCTTTTGTGAAGGCTTACTCACACTGGGGGGACCACTTAAATTCCTGGTTGTTCTGCAGGAATTGATTAAGTGGTTGAAGAATAGAGCTTAGATTGTGAATGAATTGAATGGTAATTGATCTTTCCAAGGTCTCTTAACCAAGTGGATTTCTCGGGGCATGGCGCTCAAATTGATGGCCTCCACCTTCTCCTCTGTGGGGGAGGTTCCATCAGCACAAATAACACAACACATGTATCATAGATTTCTGTATGAACTTACATTTAGTGAGCATCTCTGCCTGTGATAAGGATATCAACCTGGATGCTTTCCACATGGTCTAGACCTTGAAGAATGATGTCCAATTTTGGTATGCTGGAATATAGCAGGTGACAAAGCAATCACCAAACTTAGGTAGTCTCTTGTAGCAGTTAAGTCCTCAGTGAGTATTAATGATGACAAATGTTTGGCTATCAGGGACCAAGGGAAGCTGCTGATAGGTGCTTGTCAGATCAGACTTAGTGAATCTATGTCCACCTTGCAGTTTGATAAAGACATCCTCATGCAGAGGGATTGGATACTGAGGGACATCGAGCTGCAGATTGATGGTGACAGCCCAGTGACTGTATATCCACAAGATCTTGTGATGCTGTCTGACTTAGGTACATCAACCTCTGGAGTTGCCCACTCACTAAATTCAACCTTTTTCAAAAATAATTGGCTTTTAATTGACAGTATTCAGCCTCTAGAGCTTCTTGGAGAGCGTACAGGACTGGGTGTGGCTTACAGAACTAATAGGCTGGACATCCAGTTTCATTTCCAATTTGGTAGTAAATTCCCTTCGACTGTTCTAAGGTCTGGCTTGAAGGCATTTATTAAAGCAGAGACAGCAGAGACATGAGCAAGAACACAGCATGATGACCAGTAAATATTAGACCATCACAAATCAAAGTATGTAAAAAACAAAGAGGGGAAAGGGGCTTGCTCCACTCTGGTAGACAGGTAATGCTAAATGATATTCATCAGTACAGTGAATACCATCCCGTTTTAACTCAACCAGAGATTATCAAAATAATGCCCTCGTTCTTCAAGCATGAGAGTTAAAACTCTTCAGATTTTACTGCAAAATGGTCATACTGCCTCTTTTAACCCTTACATTACGTGTTTGACTCCTGTTTTTTGAACTAAGAATAACTTTGTCACAAAAATGATAACTAGTCCATTTAATTTCTACAGGAAAGCTTCTTTAAACATTTCAGATCACGCTTTAAATAGCTGCAATGTGAATTTTGAATGGTTATTTGTTATTTCAATAGAGGTAAAGTTATATCAACATACATAAGCTTACAAAAACGTCTACCTAGAACATGTAATAGCTAATATTTGCGAACTAAAGGAAATCAAAGCTTACGTGTAACTTGTGCGTGGGTACGGCACACTTTGAGAGCTTTTAACAGTTAGCAAAACGCAATGCATAAACTTGTGTTCCACCTACCAAAACCACGACTGTACCGGAAGATTGGACCGTACTTTTCACTCCAGTCCTGCACCAATTTCAAATGGTTTTTCTCACGAAGAAATGTCCACAAATGACCAAAGACAGGAACAGAACCATCGGGCCTTGGAATTTTTCTCAACGGCGATGTAAATTCGTCTTTCAAGAACGTGTACATGAACCATAGCAAAATGGGAATCGTTAGAATAAATATGATCATTTTGTATTTTTAACCTAGATTTTAGAAACACACAAACCCTGTGAATATTTGATTTCTTCTTAGCGAAGAAAACAGTCACGCACACTTAGTCCACCCGGCCGCCATGACAAGGCACCTTTTTCTTTCTTGGGGGTGGGGTGAGGTTTCCATTTTATTATTAGGATATGAGTTAAAAAAAAAACTTAATTGAAACTAAAGTCATGAGGTCTTGTGCATTTTCAACCCTATTAAGAAGTTCAAGATATCGAAATTAGTTTTAATTTGTAGACTTATGTTAAGACCGATTTAATTGTGTAGATAATTTTTTACTAGCCCCACCCTAGTAAGTACCTCAACTGTCCTATCTTACCCAGTGCCCTGACGTACAACCCTTCGGCCTGATTCAGCATTCTGAGCTCCTCAGGGGTAATTATGGACGTTCTTTTCAAGATTTTCAATGCAAAGTTCATTTTCTTGTCGTTTTTAGTATGTGTCATTCTGTGGTTGGTGTATAAATTCATAGAAGAAAAGTTGTCTCCGCTGCAGAAGATTCCCAGCCCACCTGGCAAATGGCCTCTGATCGGCCACCTGTTCACTTTTCTTCGTGGTGATTCTCTTGAGCTGTTACGCTCTTGGAGTGAGCAGTATTCACCGATGTTTGCTTATCATCCGGGATTTGGAGTAGGATTAGGTGAGTAGAAGAGTTTCATCGTCAGAAGAATTTTTTAAAATGATTTATTAACCTTTCGTGATCTTTCGTGATCTAATTAAGCTGTTTGAGTTACTGCCAATATCACTCTCACCCCGTGCCCAATCGATGAAAGCCGATAATCGATTCCGTGTCCGAAGCGACATGCAGATAACAGCGGAAATCATGGAGACCCATGACCTTTTAAGAAAAAATACTAAAGCACAGTCAAACGGCTCCACTCTCTAACAAAGCGGCGTAAAGTGCTCTTCGGGAACACGTGCGACACATAGAAAGGTCGAGAAATCGAAAATCGAAAGTGAAAGGCAAATGCACAAATGCCATGAACCTGTCAACCCCACAGTTTGACACTAATTTTAATTTATGAAACACGATCATGGACGACGCCGCTGCACAGTCGTCTCTCTCCCGGAGTTTTTTGAGGGGCTGTACACAGGCTGTACACAGGCTACCACATGCATGCATAGATTGGAATAGGAAACCTCTGCTTCTGTGCATCCCGCTTCAGGATATCTGCCACTGCTACTTCGTCACTCAGAAGAGACATTTGAAAACGGACTTAATAGCAAACAGCCCCCCACCCCCCATCCTGGCAGTCCTATGGGAAGGAGAATTTGATCTTAGTGGTAGATATTTGACACTATGAGGAGGGTGGGGGAGTTAGTGGGATTTGGACAAGTTGCCTCTAAATCATGGTTAAGCTAGCCATCAAAAGTCAACACCGTTCTTCTTTGTTCTTTGCATGTGTGTTTTTCGAAAGAATTACATGTTAATAATACAGTATGTTATTGCACTGTAGTGTAAGGTCTGTATTGGAGAAACATTGCATTTGGTCACGTTCTTTTTCACTGCAGGTTTATGGACTGAGCCACAGGCATTAGGTCCATAATCTTGCAGTTAATAAGAATGAGAGCAATAGTCAATGTTTAATACGAACCTAACAAGCTAGAGGCACTTAAGAGTCAAGTGTCTTGCCTCATTAGAGCATAATTATGACACTTATTACAAGTGATGCCAGCTGCCATGGCTTGAAGAAATCTGGACCTGGCTTTGTTTTGGAGTTTGTGCTCATGCACTATTGTGTACTAATAATAATCCATTTAAGGCTTGCTGATTGAGCCTTGACGTAATATATCAAACACGAAAGACCGTGTTTGACCACATTTCCAAACTCCGAGAAGAGAGTTGAAAATATGACGCGCAGCGGAGTATTTTTGA